CCTTTTTGCCCCCCCCCCCCCCCCAAATTGCCCTTGTTTGAATGAGAGGAATGAGCAAGAGCATTGTTGTGATGGAGAAGGACTCTCTGAGGGAGCTTTCCCAGGTGTTTTTCTGCTAAAGCTTTGGCTAATTGTCTCCTAACTCTCATAGCAAGCAGATGTTATAGTTCTTTGGCCCTCCTGAAAGTCAACATGCAAAATGCCTTGAGCATCTCAAAAACTGTGGCCATGACTTTGGTCTTGACTGATCTGCTTTTGCTTTGACTTGGCCACTCCTCCCTTTTATTAGCCGTTGCTCTGATTGACCTTTGTCTTCAAGATCATAGTGGGAAAACCACGTTTCATCTCTTATTACAATTCTTTAAAGAAATGCTTCAGGATCTTGGTCCCACTTACATAAAATTTCCATTGAAAGCTTTCACTGCAGCTCATCTGGCTGCAACCATCAAGCAAAAATTTTGGCAGCCATCAAGTGAAAATTTGCTCAAGTCTGACTCAGAATTGTATAAGCTGAACCAGTTGAGATGTCTGTGGTGTTGGCTATGGTTTTTGCTGTTAATCATCAGTCCTCTTCAATTAAGGCACGAGCAAGATTGATTTTTTTCTTTCAGATTGACGTGGATGGTCTGCTGCTGTGGGCTTCATCTTCCACATTGTCTCTTCCCTTCATTTTTTTCTTTTGGTAACTGGCTGATGTGGGGAACCGAACCCTTGACCTTGGTGTTAAAACATCATGTTCTAACCATCTGAACTAACCAGCCAGTCTGTCTTGTCCTTCTGAAAAAAAGTTATCCATTTGTAAACTGATGATTTCTCTGGGGCATTGTCCCTGTAAACTTTTTGTAAAGCATCAGTGATTTCACCATTATTCAATCCAAGCACCATCATAAATTAGATATTTTTTTTTGCTTCAATTTTGGCAACATTATTTTTGGTGTGATAGCTGCTTTCAAACTGATGTCTTATCCTTCATAGTGCCTCAAACTAGATCCTGTTCAGACATGGTATAACAATTTAGTACAGGTTTATTTTGCTGCCGTAAATTTAGTAATCTGTGCATAGTTTTATCATAATACACATTTCCATCAACTTTTTTTTTTTTTTTGTCTTTTTCCGTGTCTGGCAACGGTCCGCAACCCTCAGTGTCGCCCCCGTACCGGACCGGGACCGGCAACGGGATCGCAACCCTCGGTGCTGCCCCCGCGCCTCGCTCAGCCAGTGAGCGGGAACCGGTCTGTATGTGGGATCCGAACCCTCGACGGGAAGCGCTGCCGTGCTTCCCAAGCGGCGCACTAGCGCGGTGCGCCACCGGGCCGGCCCTCCATCAACTTTTTGAAGACCTCTCATATACTAGAAATCAGAAAAAATAACAAACTCTTCTTCGTATTTTTTTCAAATGTTTTCTCAATTTAAATTAAAGAGGAAATCAAAACAATACTTGTATATCATCCTAAAATTAATTGTGAAGTATATGTGTAGCATAGCTTTAGGTACTCAGTACAAAAGTGTTTCTGGTTCCCCAGAGATAATGCAATCACCTATATCTGAATTGCTCCTCATTCTCCAGAAAGCAAACAGATTAATAAATAGAGCATATGAAATCACCTATAGCCAGCCCATGCTTAATTCATAACTAGCAAGAGTGAATACTACAACTTGAAATTTCAAATTTGAGACCAGGAGAGCTTGATCAAGAGCCCCCCATGCAAGAAGTGGCGTGGCAGAGAGATATTGTGCAAGAAAGGAGAATATGGTGGAAATTTATTGGTGTGGAAGAGACATAAGTAAACTGTGGTTTATTCTCAAAAGCAGAGGGTCAGAGAACCATCAGAGACCAGGTAGTGTAAAGCACTGTGGAGTTAAAGAGTTAAAATGGATTGGCAAAGTACAGAGGTGGCCTTGAAAACTGCTGGTGGTGTGACAGGCAATTTTAAGGGGAATATGTCTCCAAATAAGTGAATGTAATGAGTGGAAGGTATGAAATAAGCCTTACTGAAACAAGGTATCAACACTGACTCAGAATACTGACCACTCCCACACCTTTACACACTAAAAGGCACCATTTCTAACATTAGTATTTATCTGGTGCCTCTCCCCCCATTGTATTTTTGGTTTGTATGGGGAGGGGGGCAGACAGTTTGTCTTTTTAATTTACAATCTTCACATTGGGAAGAACTGTACCTGAGAAGCTGAATTTAAGGAATTGTACGTGTGGAATGTCACCTGCACCTAGACCTAATTTAGACAATGAGACCCTATGCTGATGCTATAAAGGGATGAGGTTTTGGGGGGGAGGGGCTTTGAAAGAGGGAGTGAGAGAATTTTTTGGATGTGGGAGGAATGTCAATAATTAAATAATTTAAATGAAAACAAATAAAGCAACTATGGTGGTTTTAAAATGTTCTTAGAGTTTTTATACTCCTCTTTTCAAGCACTGGAATTTAATTTTGCCAACTCTGAATGTGTGCTGGACCTGTTGATTGACTTATAATGACTAGAATAAAGCAGAAGTGGTGGTGAACAGCTTCGGAGATCAGGTCATAACAGGCAACAAGACTTTCTCTTTACTTTCTTATTTGGGTTTTAAGTATTCTGTGTTTATAAAGGAAATTATGAGAAGTAAAGAGAACGTTGTGTTTGTGTATCTTGTATATATATGTGCACATATATATATATATACACACATATATACAGTATATTTACATATACACATGTATACATATGTACATACACATGCATACAGCATACATACTGTCTGGTTCTATTGGCTCCTTTTTAAAAATTTTACTCTATACTAATGAGGACTATGGACTCTTAATAATGGTGCATATTTTCTTTATTGTGTGTTTAATTATTTGGTATTTTATGTTGGACTGTGTAAAAGAACTGTACAAACCTTGGTAAATAATATTTATGTACTGAAATGATGTTCTTCTATCAGAGAGTGAAGAGAATGTTGAGTTGATGTGGGTGGTGGGGACACTTGTAGTGACAGAACACAAATGGAGTTTACTATTGAGTATTTCTAAAACTTCATGTTATATTTTTTATAGGGCTGTTATCATAACCTTTTTATAGTAATATATACAAAGTGCACATACACTCATATAGCAGATTATTATTTAGTAATAACAAACAATCTAGTAAAAAAATATAGAGAAAAGTTTTTAATGGTCCCAGCTGAAAGAAAATCACAGGGAGCTCACAGTAATCACTCAGTAGGTTTGTTCTGCATAAGCAAATGAAATTGTTCTGTATTAAGAACAAAATTAAGAAAGCATGCATATTAAATATACCATTTTTATTTCTTCCACCTATTATTAATATCTGTTACTCAAATTTACCTGCCTCAATTTTGCAAAATAAACTAGTAGTATGTTAGATATTTAATAATAATCTTTCATTTGATTTTTTGAAATAAGTGGTTTTTTTTTTTTAAAGATGACTGGTAAGGGGATCTTATAACCTTTGACTTGGTGTTGTCAGCACCATGCTCTGCCAAGTGAGCTAACCATCCATCCCTATATAGGGATCTGACCTGTGGCCTTGGTGTTATCAGCACCACACTCTTCCAAGTGAGCCACGGGCTGGCCCTGGAATAACTGTTAAACTTGGCTACTTATTATTAGTATACTGTAAGGAGTAGTACATTATCAAGTAGTAGTTTGGGATATATTTTAGGAATTTCACTTTTAAAAATATGTATAACTAAATTATTTTCTTGATTATTTATAAATCTTGGGCATTGGGAAAATACTGTTTATATAGATTCTTATTAATTTTAATGTATTGAGTCAATCAGAAATGACTTATTTACACTGAGTAGCATTGTTTTAGATATGTGTCTCTGTATGGGTGTGTTGGGAAATTTAGCAATCATTTGAAGTGATAGCTTACATAAATAATTTTTATGGTCAATTCCATGACTGAAGCATCACTGCAAAACTGCTTTTTGTAGATAACCAACAGTTTGTTGATCTTTTTTGTTCTTAAAGTAGATTTATTTGATTCAAAATGAATGAAAACAAAACATTTTTTGAGATCATAATTTGTTCTTCCATCACTTTTTTTCTAGTCTTGTTTGTCTTGCTTATAGAGAAGATTTTGAGGTTTATATTTTTACATTTTAAAAGGCAGATGTTCCTAGCCTAAATATTATAAGAAATATTTGATTTTGCAATTGCATCGGTAAATACTTGTTTTTGTCCAGGTGATTTAACTTATGTATTATTCAATTTATAGAATTTCACATTCACTTCTCTTTCCTTTTTGTTTTGTTTTTTTTTCTCTCTAATTTTAGAATCCTGGTCATAGTCCTACAGGAGAAAATCGCTGCCTTTGATAGCTGTACTTTCACAAAAAAATTCTTTGTCACAAGTATGTACCAAATTGTTTTATTTCCTGTCATGTGCATTTGAGTGTATACTACTTACTTGATAGAATCAGCAAACTCATTGTAATCATATTATCAGCATTTCATGGGTTTTCAGTTCTGATGATCTTCCTGTGATCCTGAGGATGTCCTCATTCAGTAGTATAATTGTATGATACGTATTTTCAACTTTCCAGTGCATTTCTTCATATTACTGAGCAAGCTTTGTTCTATATACCCTTGGTGTCTCCTTACATACTCTCTTTGAGTAGTTCTGATTAATTTAGTCTCATGTAGCTATTTTATCCTTTCAAAGCCGTTCTTAAATTAACATACCATACTTGAGGAGATAGCTGGGTTATTCTATGTGGGGGATTTGAAATTCCCAGAAATATGTCAGTCTCTTTCCTTCTTTTCCTGTTTCCCCCACCCCCACAACTTCTACTGCTGTCCAAAAGTACAGAAATAAGAATAGAATCTAGATCCAAATGGTGTGCTTGCAGACACAGAATTAATACATTGTACACTGTATGAAATTACACGTATGAAATTTTATATGCATTGTGTGTATATATATGTGTGTGTGTGTATACACAATACACAAACTATATCCATATATATTTAATATAGTATAATATATAGTATACAATGCATGTACTTATATATAGCCTATAATGTATTAGTTGTATCAAGAACATGAGCTCTTATAGGAAAAGAGTACTGTCTACAACCCAGTGCTTACTACATAGTATTCAGTAAACATCTGTGTAAGTAGATGTAATATTTCAGGAGCTGCAACAAATACAATTGGGATTCCTGGTTATACCAAAAGTGAGATCCATTAAATGATTTCTGAAGCATTTACATGTCAGACTCTCTGAAAAAACTCAGCAACAGCTTCCATGTTCAGTTGTAGAAGTTAAACATAGAAGACAGAGGGACATCTATTATTGTACTAAAATAACAAAAAATTCGGCTGCCTTTGGATTCCAACTGCAATGTCAACTCCTGCTGGAATTTCCAGCCTGTCAGCTTGCCCTGCAAATCTTGAACTTGTCAGCTCCCACAATTGCATGAGCCAATTCCTTAAAATCACTCTCTCCTCCAACCCGCCACGCTTCTTCTCCCACTCCCCTCCCCACCTTCTATATATACTCTCATGTGTGTGTATATATTTTATATGTATCCGTATATGGTATTACACACATTATATACTGTATATTACATATATAATTTATTATAATACATTGTTTATCATTTTGTAGATTATAAGAGGAATTAGCCATACTCATCCCCTAGTGCTTGTAATCTATTTCTCTCAGAGATGTATAGCCGTTATGCATTAATAGTTTACTTTGTATTTGTAATACTCATAATTTCAGAAATTAGGGGAATAGAACCTATCCAAGAACCAAATATGAACCTATTAATTTCTTCAAATTATGTGGGGTATAGAGAAGTGAATCAGAATAGAGTAGGAATATTTCAGCCGGATTCAGATGTCAGATTTTCCTGAGCATTTGTTCTTCCATCTTATCAATAGTCTTTTGCTGTTCATTGATAATCAGAGATGTGTGTCATTGCTTCTACAGTGTAAGACATTTCTGTTTTGACTCCATTTTAACTTTATAGTTATAGACTATATTTTTTGGTAGAGACGTCTACTTCTCTAAAGTCAGGTCAGGAACATAAGGCTACCTTTTTTAAGAAAATAAAGATATCTTGATGTCTCAGCTGCGTGTTAAATTGGAGGAAAAGATTCAAAATCATTATTTGTTGAGATAGTTTATTTAGACCTTCCAGGTTGCTGACCTGTGAAAGTGCTGGGAGAGTGTTTCTCCCAGAAAGGGAATGGAAGCTCCACACTATATTCATCTCTTCATCTGGATATTTATCTATATCCTTTGTAATATCTTTTGTAATAAATTAATAAATATAAGAAAAGATAGTTTATTTAAATGTCAAAGTATGTTTTGAAATTGAAGCCTTTTTAAGCATTAGGCTCTCCTGGACTATTTACGTTGAAAGTAATACTACATTTGTTAATAGCTGCCAATATTTTCTTTTTAATAAATGGCAGGTTATAAAGTCAGTTGTAAGCAGTGACTAAAAAGAAGTTAATAAATACAAATAAGTTAGTAATGAAGATATTCATTTTATAGAGCATAGTTAAATTGTTGCTTTTTAGTGTAGAAGTCAAAAACGTAGATATCTAGTAATTATTTTAATATCCAGTATAGAATTTTAAAATGGAAAGTCAGTGTCATTATGAAGGAATAATTTAAAATAACTCCTTAAAAAAGTGACAAAAGATATGTATTTTCAAATAAGGACTTAAATTTAAAAAGAATTTTTACGGGATGGCCGGTTTTCTCGTTGGTTAGTGCACAGTGTTATATATATTACCAAAGTTTGGATCCCTCTACCGGCCAGCTGCAAATAAAATAAAACAAAAAATAAAAGTAATTTTTAAAAAACCTTACTGTTAATTAAATGTCCATATGATAAGGCTATGGGTATGATTTCCCTAAAAAGTTTTGTTTGTTTTTGTAAACTGATAATATTTGCAGCTTTTTGGGAGTGGTACTTGGCAGTTTGAGATTCTTACTATAGAAGAATTTTTTTGTGGAAAGTTCTCACTTGGGTCAACTTACAGATTATCTGTATGACAGGAATAAAAGTAAATATGTAGAATCAGTGTAGAAACGCATTTTCAAAGAACGCAATTTAAAATTTTTCATATTACCAATTTTACTATAGTTTCTCAAGTAATTGATGTGTTGTGGAAATGAGAGTGAGAAAATCTTTTGCAAAAGAAGAGAGAATAGTCTGTATTCCTCTTAGTTTTTATTGCTGTTGAAATTACGAAGTTCTACCAGAAAGAAAGTATATTTTTAGTCACCTTAAAATATTAAATGTACCTTAAAGATATAAATGTCTTCTCTTTTCAACAATATGTCTTATTAAGTAGATGTAATAAGTTAGTGCTATGGCAAAAATATTGTATTTTATTAAATTTGTAAAGCCACAGATATACCATTTCATCTGTGAAGGTAATTTAAAAAAATTTTTATTTTGGGAAATACATACTTATATCTAATTAGGCAAAATAATATGATGAACCACCAGGTACTTATTTAGTTTCAACAACTATCAAGTCTTTGGGTAATTTTTTTAATTTATATCCTTTCTCAATTATTTTAAAGCCTATCCCAAACGTTTGCAAATATTTTATTATCTTTGTCTAAAAAAATAAGAACGTACAAAAGTCATGTTTTCAAAATTGCCAGGTGATCATGTAATTTATTATCCCAACTGTGGTCTTTTGATTTGTACAGATGCCGTACTGGATTTAACTTGGTCAACATATGTAAATTAGAAAAGTTCTGGGCCAGCATTACAATGTGTTCATTCTGTTCGTTTCATACCAACCAAACTCCCAAGGTTTTTGGTGTACCAAAACCTTCTTTGTCGGAGTCCAGTGTCCTTGACAAATCTTTTTTTCTACAACTCATTTCATGCTTTTTATGCTACATTTAATTTGAACCAGTTATTATTTGTAGTTTTTTGCAGGTGCATTCTTCCTTTGTTCTTTTGAGTGGAATGGCCTTTTCACTAGTATCCTCTCTCCCCTCAATGTCTTAATCCTATATATCTTTCTGAGCCCTGTGTAGATAGTAGTTCTTATATGAAATCTTTCCTGACCACCATATCTTACAGTAACCTCTCCTTCTTCTAAATCCCCAAAAGACAACATTTTGCAGTGTCTGTCTGCAGAGCACTAGACCTTCAATGTGCTGTGTAAATCAGGATGCCCTGATCCAATATGTTTAGGAAATGTTGCCTTTTATTGAGAATGGCAATAGTGATTACCATTTTATCTGTTTAAATTGATTTAATACATTTCTTTTTGCTTGTTTGCTTGCTTTTTCGTGGCTTGCTGGTATGGGGATCCAACCCCTTGACCTTGGTGTTAACCGGCCAGCCACAATATATTTCCATATTTCGCAGATTTATTTGATTACATACCTCCTTTGTTACCCAACACCCTTTGGGAATACTTTTGTAATATAATCTCTGCCTGTCTTAAGACACTTTCTATCTTGTATGCATTTTCTATGTGCTTGCCACTAGGCAGTAATCTCCTTGAGAGAGAAGTAATTCAGCTTGTTTTGGATTAAGGAAGTAAGGTCCACCGTGGAAGGTATAATATGTTCATTATGTTATGGCTATTGTAAAAATATTAATGATGTTTATTTTTTGCTTTGTTCTTGTAATAATAAAACCCAATTCACCAAGATGAAAACATTTGACACATTTATGTTCTGGTTTCAAAGTATCAGTGGTTCTTTTTCAAAATGTTTAGTTAACCATAATACTTGAGATAAGAGTATGTCTGAAAATGTAATGCTACTCTGTCAAAAGTTATATGAGGAAGAAAATTATTCATATAGGGTCAGTCCTGATCTTTAGGGAAAGTGACAAAGGATTGAGCTGTAAGTTAACAGTGAGTGCTTGGTGCATACTTAGAAGAATGAGTATGTTATACATATATGAGTGCAGTTTCTTCCATACAAATCATATTGGAGTAAATTCAGAAATTTTCTAACATGAGTTTGTTAGAGAATTGTATCTCTGTATACATCAGCTGCTGAGTCTCTGTCTAATACCTGCAGTGTCTCTCCTGGCTGTGTAAAGGGTTTTCCCGTTGGGCATAGGGGACATAGTTTCTATTTTGCAAGAGTTTAGTAGCATTTGTGGTAGCTTATTTGCCTGTACCACATAGTTTTTATGTATCGATTGGTACCTAGTTCTTAAAGAAATAGGACCATAGCTCAGTAGAATGACAAGATCTCCATTTAATGAGGACATTGTTTTGGTCATGCAGTCATTTAACTTCTAAAACAGTTTGAAAACTCATTCTTAGTTGAGTGCCTTAGTTATGTAATGAATACAATGAAGGGACTGTAAGATAAGTAGAAACAGCTGTGTCTATCAGAGCAAGCGTCATCGGAATTTGTGCCAAAGGGTGGAGGGAACAGGTAAAGAGAGCTGATAGAGAACTGTTAGTGGAAAGCATCCAATATGATGAGAAAGGAGACACCTTTGTATTTGGATTTACAGAAAAGGTGGCTTTGAGCAGCTGTTTGATGTGGAAATCCAAAACCCAAGTATGATTAGGAAAACAAAGACTGATAGATGTCATTAGCAGTCATTTTCAGTGTCCTTAAATCGAAAAGTAGATATGAAGTCTCTGGAGAGACCAAAGGGGTGTACAGTAAGCAATCTCTTTCCATTGGCCTCTGTTTTTACTTTGAGGAGGAAAAATTATTTCTTAAAATCTTGTTATTTCTTAATATTAGTATGTGTTTTCTTTTAAAAAGTTTTTCTGGCTGGTATGGGTATCTGTACCCTTAACCTTGGTATTATCAACACCATACGTTACCAAGTGAGCTAACTAGCCTCTGTATGTGTGTTCTTTATTTATGTTAATGATGAATAACAAATGGACCAAATGGTAATGAATTTAAAGGAACTTTAAAATGCAAAATTATTTTTAATTTTTGAAAAAGAGGCTTTGCTTTTTATGTTAAGAAACACATTTATGAGAAGAGATTGGTAGGTTAATGTGACATCTAAGCCCAGTTAAAGATAAAGTTAAACCTATCCTTGTTCTTCTGGTTTCTGCATTAGATGAACAAGATTGCTATGATGTTTTTAGGGCCTGGGCAGGTACCTAATACATAGCAGACACTCTATGAATATGTTTGCAATGAAATAACTTGTGACTTTTCTATTCTCTGCATATAATTCCCACCCATTGAGCCTCAGAATGGCAGTACTCTGAAATTCATGATATGTTTCCTATACATTAAAAATAAACCAAAAATAAAACAAGTCTTATACTGAAATCTCATGGAAACTTAAGAAGGTCGTTAATCAGCTGTATGATGGTAAAATAAATCTGCAAAGTAGTATTTTGTATCATGTGTGCTTGTGTGTTTTTCTAGGGAGGGTGTTTATACTCTTTTCTGAAAATCACATAGTATGTGGTCCTTTGTGACTGTTATCAGGTCTTCATTTCTTTTTATTGCACAATAATATTTCATTGTGTGAATATACCATAATTTATCTATTCATCAGTTGACAAGTATTTGGTTTGTTTCTACTTTTGGGATATTATAGATAATGCTTGTATGAACACAAGTGTGCAAGATTTAATGTAGAAATATGTTTTCAGTTGTTTTGGGGATGAATATTTGGTTATAAGTTTTTGTAATTTTGATCTGTATTTCCTTGGTGGCTAATGACACTGAGCATTTTTCGTATACTTATTTGCCACTTATTTTCATGGTATGCCAGTAAGGGGATCTGAACCCTTGACCTTGGTGTTACCCACACCTCATTCTAACCTGAGATAACCAGCTAGCCCTTGCCATTTGTGTTTCTTCTTTGTCCATTTTTAAATTGAGTTATTTGTCTTTTAAATATTGAATTGTAATAGTTATTTTTATATTTCGGATACAAGTCATTTAGCAGATACATATTTCGCAAAAATGTTCCCCCATTCTGTAGGTTGTTTTTTCACCTTCTTGATGGTGTCCTTTGAAGCACAAAAGTTTCAGTTTTGATGAAATCCAATTTATCTATTCTTTTGTCACTTATACTTCTGGTGTCATACGAGAAACCATTGCCTAATCCAAGGCTGTGAAGATTTATTGTTTTAATCTAAGTTTTATTGTCTTAGCTTTTATGTTTTATAAATAAAGATTTGTTTTTGTATGTGGTGTGAGGTAGGGGTCCAACTTCATCTTTTTGCATGTGGTTATCCAGTTTTCCCAGCATCATTTGTTGAAAAGACTGTTCTTTCACCATTGACTTATTAAAAATGCAGATACCGATTAAAAAAAAAAGTTTGAAACTTTTGATTTATCCTTGCCAGGAAAAACATGGTAAAGTGTCACAGAGATAGTTAAACCTTTTGTTTTTTAATTCAGGTCACCACTCCATTAGTACCAACTTTCTAGGAGAAAGTTGAAATTGCATCATTTGCATGTGTCCTTTTACTAATGGCAGAATCTTCACTTAGTTTGACTTTTCTTGGACTTTTCACTTATTTAAATTGGGAAATCTGAATTCTTTTAACATGTAGTTCTCTCTTCTTACTTTCTTCAGAAACATCGTAAACATGTTAGAATTTGTCCTCTTAATACAGAGGTTCATGCCCCCTCCTCCTTCCCCCTTCACTTGCTCTCAAAGTTTAGCTGGAGACAAAGGTTAATCTTTAGAGGAGTCATGCTTATATGGTTGGAGTAGTGCTGAGTGGCTGATATTCTGCTGATTCCAGCTATAAAGTGGTGTTTTGGTGAGCAGAAAAACAATGTGCTTTCATTACAATATGCTATAATTCTTGAGGTCCACTTGAGTTTTTGAAAACATGGACTGAAAAAGTGGAATGAAGAATTGTAAACTATGTTTTCCCTTAGTATCCTTTAGGATTTGTAAAGGAAGATATACTTACTAGCATCCAGTGAGGTTAAAGTGGTTATCAGAATTGGTTGAGAGTTAGGGGTTCTGTTATTTATGAGAGATTTTAAAAGGGAAGAAACTTTCTTTTTTTCTTTTTTTTTTTTTTTTGTTTTTTGTCTGTTTTTTCCG